AAATTCTCTAACTTTAATAGTTTTTGAGATATTTATAAAAAACTAAAACTGAAAATATTTTTCTCACACCAAATAAGGGTGACACGACTATAAATATAATATGTATGGTCATGGCTCGTTGAACACATTAAATACCACAAATATTCCTACATAAATTTCGTGGTGAAAATATAAAATCGATTTGGTTGTTTAACCTACAAGTGTCGTCTATCAATGGCGACTATCTCAATATCTCGCGATGGATAGTAAAACGCTCTTCAACTTAAGAAGTGAAACACACCCAAAACATTCACCGTCGATAGTCGCACCTCGCTTCACTGGTCATTTATTTATCTCTGCCAGGCTTTAATGTTTAATGTTTAATATATGCTGGTGTCTGCTGTGTAATACGAAACGCAACGCCGAAGGTAAAAAGTATGTTTTTTTGAACTTGGCCTTGGTAGAAAGTATCCGGGCCGCGCCGATGATAGTGAAATGCAAAATGAGAAACAAAATTGATTGCACCTGTACTCATAATTCCATGAATAAAAAAATTGAATTAAATATATTGCGGAAAATAATTATTTTGATTGACGCTAAATTTTTAAATTTGTTATACAAAAAAATTTGTTAATAATAAAAAAAAATTAGGCAAATTACAATCAATTACATCAACACGTCAACATTTAATTATCATTATCAATAAAAAAAAAAGAACTTTCAGCTACTGATTTCAATTTAATTTTTTTCGCATTCCACTTAAAATATTTTCACATTTATTGACATATAATTGCTTATAATTATGATATATCTAATAACTAGATCAAAATCAAATGAGATTGACATACAAATCGAATTTATTTGACCGAAATCGAAACCTAAATAAAAAATTTCTATTTCTTTCAAGATGTTACATGATTAATCAATAAAATCAATAGAAATTAATCAGATGTATTAATTAACGCGTGGAATATTGTTTCTATATTCATCCGACTTAAAGCCGCGAAAAGTGAAACTAAAAAAACTTAATTAATTCATAAAGACATAAAGAAATTTAGTTCAAGGTAAATTTAATCATGTGAACACGTTTGATAGACGCACGAGACACACGTCTTCTGAATCTTCTCCTTCGGCAAAAGCAAAGCAAAACGAGTTCCATGTGAATACGAATCCAATAGTCGTGTAGTTCTTGGGTTTAAGTTTCCGCCTGCTTGTTAATCAGTTAACATTGTACGTTCCTTCATTTAAACGTTAATGAAGTTAAAAAGTGGAAGCATTCGTGTCGGTAATTAACACTGTAGACATTTTCTCAACGGTTGAGTAAAACAAAAAAATAAAGGAGAAAAATTTCAAAGTTTTCATCTGAAAAATTTCCGTGTTAATTATAATTGTGCTTCTTTTAGGTCAGCATTTTTTAAAACAAACTGAGGTTTTAAATGCAAGTGGATCAAAATAATAGTACATAGTAGCATTTTCTCGCATTGTTTTTTATTGCACTTGTAGGTGATTATTCTGTTTGTGTCGCGTCTTCGGAAAGATTTCACAATCATCGACGCCGGCGGCGCTTTCTTTCTTTCATTCTCGCTTGTTCTTCCGTTCGGTTAATGTCAAGTTCACTCGTACAAAATACAAAAGTTAAAACGTAATTTTCACACGACATCTTCGCCTTTTGTCGCGTATTCTTTGTACATTTTATTTCATGTAATGTCTTGCCAAATTTAAATTGCAATTGGTAACTGTAGCTTTAGTTTATTATTACTGTGCCGTTAATTTTGCTTTTTCGGGAAAATATGTTCTTTCTTGCACTAGAAATATTAAAATGTTTAATTATTAAACAAAATAACATTATTTAAAATTTAAAATAATGATAATCCTCTTCATTTTCTTGAAATTACCATTTTGCAGAAAAAAACTTTATTGTTATTACTTATTTGATGAACAAAAACTCTAATTAACGTCTAATGTTGACTCATGAGATTAGACATATGCTGGTTGTAAGGTTTAGGTTAAGTGGTATTATGTTACTTGCATTTCCGGAATGTTTTTTCTCTTCAAATATAATTTTACAAAATATTTTTGTTTTTCTGCTCTAAAACAACTGATTATTTGACTTGTGGGAATGTCGTCTTTAATAGCATTTCTTTAGTCGCGCCTTTGGCTACCGTAAAGTGTTTTGTCACGTTTTGTTAACAACTTAAACAACTTTTTTTATTCTCCTCTGTTTTGCAGTCGTAATTTTTGTTTTATTTAACTTAAAATCCATTAAGTTAATTTTAGATGCAATGATTGAGATGGAACTGTACCTGTGCACGATTTGCCAAACGTGAAAATTCGATTAACTCGATAAGATGAATGAAAATTTTTTCGACTTGTTTAAGAGGAGGTTCACATGAAGATTTGTCTAAGACAAAGCTAAAAAACATTGTATCTTAGAAACGTGCTTAGCATAATCGTCTAATCGCAATTCGCAACACACGAAAAGCGTGCTTTTCTTGCTTGTTTTCATTTTGTTTTTGGTCGTAAGATCTTTTCCCATAGAGACAACAACAATTTAAGAATTAAACAATGGGTGCAATCATGAACTTTAAATGCACGCGAGGAAAGAATTAGTTTTATTTTACACATTTTATACTTAATTTTAATTATTTTAGTTAATTGTTGATTAATATAGCAGAAAAAACATTTTTATGAATTTTGTAAATCTTGAAAAATATTTTAAGCTGTAAAACTAATGATTTATTGCCATTAACTATGAAATTATTAGAAAAAATGGCATTTTGAAAGTAAAAACTTCGAAACTTCTCAAAATTAAAAGCAAAAAGTTTCACGATTCGTTAATTTCCAACTTTTAAAAATTTAAAGAGCAATTAATATTACCCACCAATTTATACCATGTGCAATCGCCCGTGAAAAACGTTAAATTACACGAAGAAAAAAAATAGAACGTAAACATGTCAGAAATTATAACGCTGCGTTCAAATTATAAACCACGGCGTTTAACATAAAATGTGAACACTTTTCACCTAAACATTCTAATGCTGTTTTAATTAGTAATTTCTTTTCGGATTAAAATCCATCCATAAGTCATTTCAAATATTACTTATCAACACTGGCATAGATTTGAGCACATCTCAATTTAGTTTCGTTTCATTTCGTTCGTTTCCTTGATTGCTTTATTAAGAAATCGTTTTTAAAATTGAAATTCAAATGCGGGAATGAGAGTTATTTTGCTGGTTACAAACAAAGCTCGCAGTTTCACAATTTCAAATCATCGCCTACGGAATCGACGCGATGTAAAATGATTAGATTATAAAATGATTAGATCGATACACACTATGTAAATGCATATAGGCAGGTAGATGTATTTAAATCGAACGTCGATCTCAGTTTTCGTCTCAGTAGGTAGGTAAGTATGTCAACGTAGTGGATTGAATGCCCTGTGGGCAGACAATGGCTCGGAGAAATGTCTAAGACCAACACATTTGCATTCTTCGTTCTTTCCTGCCTCCAAATTTGATTCATATAAACACATATACATGAATATATGCTACTAGTATACTACTTCTTCGCTGGATGGCAATGAGAACGATGAAGCGTCAGTCTGTTGACGACGGTGAGTCGGCGAAAGTGAATCGGATATCCTGAGGCGTAATCGCTCGTTCCACGCGTGTGGATGTGGATTTACTTTCAGTTGCGATCGTTTTCGGTAAAACTTGGCACCACACATTCGCACGCTGCGGGATTGTACGCGTTGAATGTGGAAGCGAGAACTTGCATCGACAAAACTGATTATCATATGCCCTAGATTGTGATGATTCACTTTCTTTTCGGTGGTCGATGTTTCACGTACTGCTGCATGATGTTTTTGGCGTTTTATTGTCTATTCATGGCACCTGACATGAAGGATGAATTTTGTAATGCATAAGTAAAAAAACATAAACAAGTGAAATGAATTTTAAAGAGTACATGAAGTTTAATTTGATTTTATCTTGTTTAAAACGATGTTTATTATTAAATTAAAGAATTTATTATTTTATCACAACTTAAATATAAATAAAATAACGTAAATGTCATTTTTTAAATAAAATGCTTACCAATTTTTTCCCATACTTTCAAATTCTTAATATTTACCAGAAATAATAGTAAAAGTAACATTCTAATAACAATTACAATTACATTTGTAATCAATTGTATAATTTGACGAATTAATTGCCATTTAAACCTGTAATCCTCGCAGTTGGAAATCATCGAAACGTGAAGTATTTTTCTCCGTCACTTTTTCTACTTACATGCCTTTTAATAAGCACTTCTAATTCACCACTCGTTCATTAAATACTTTGTAATGTTGTAGTGTCATGCATTATGAATTTGTTAACGCAGAAACGCGCATTAAAAAACAAAAAAATCGTGTTTTTTTTTCTGCTTCTAAAGACAAATGATTTAATTGTTATTTGTAGTCAGCGATTATCTCTCGAAGTGCGCTTGTTTAATTGCGTGTAATTGCGTGAAAGAGTTTTGGGATTCACACTCTCATCACAGCTAAACAGTCGATTCTTTTGCAACATTCCGATAAATTAACAAAATAGAGAGAAAAAGTATAAAAGAATTCATCGACACGCGGGGTCATGAAGGTTCACAATGCCAACAAGGCCATAATTAACGAATTGATGGTCATTCATTAATTAATTCAGAAAAGCTCGTTGGAAATTAAACACGCGAACGTAAAACGTGATTAGGTGTTGCAGGAATAAGTTTCTGATTAAACTTTTTAGTTTTAAATTTAATGTTTTTGGTTTTTTAACACTTACAAAACCTGGAACTGATTACCACTGAATAATACGTATATAATTATTTGTACAAGAAATATTTAAACAATTGTTATGCATGTAACACGCAAGAATGTTCAAGTTGTCGAGGAAGTATTGAAGTTGTGAACATAATCTTATGCCTCCATGCAGGCGATTACAATATGCAGCAATGTTAATGCGAATACTAATCTTGATCATTTTCCTCTCTTGCAGCTGTCGGGTAGCACAGTGATGCAGCATTGGATAACCTTCGATGGCTGCAGTGGTTAGCCATGCGATGCGACGATTTGCCTCTTCGCCGGATGCAAACTACTCCTCCTGTGGTTTAAGGGTAAGTCAACTTTCCAAACACACACAAAAAACATAATAAGTAATAGAAACTTAAGATGGGCATAAATTTAAGATGACAATTTAATATTCTGCATTTCTGTATAAAAATTATGAACGCGCAAAAAAAAAGTCGCACAGGTGTGAAAGTTTATTTCACTTTTAATTTTTAATTTCTCGCGTCAATTGAATATTGTATCGTAGTCATCTAGTCTAGCTTAATAGCGTTGTGAGTATCAATTTCGTTTTTTAGTTCACCTATGACACAGAAACAACAAAAACACTTTCTAACTGTTGTGTTTTTGTGTGTTGTTTTTGTTGTTAGTGTGTCTGCGTGTGAGGAACGTTATGAATATGACTATAAATATAAATATGAATATAAATAAAACGATGACGTGACGCTAATCGCGCGATCGACGTTTTCGTTTTTTTTGTGGGTTATTATCTTTTTGCGCGTGCGGTGCGAGTTCGGCGAACGCTGTCGTTTTCTGCGTGAATACTGTGAAAACTTTCATTGTCACTGGGAGGCATAATTTTTAATCATGGGAGAATCAGCTCTCTCGCTTGCTTTGTGCTGGAAAATGTGCACCATAGAAATGGCGCATAATCTAGTCTCATTTATTGTTCATTGCGAACGCGGTAGAAAGAATGAAGCGTGCCGCGGCAAATGGTAGCAATGTGCTGCAGTCGCGGAACAATCGCGTTTTTGTTGCCTGGCGCGTTGTTTTGCGATAGTTAATGTTAATGGCAATAGTTGCTGAATTGTTGTAAACAGAGGCGCGATAGAAAGTTGATTCATTTCAAATAAATCAAAGCTCGGCTTTGCAGCGCGCGCGCGTCGTTACATTTGCACGCCTTTTCGTGTTTTATTACTGTCTATTTACATTTTACATTGTCATATTACAATGGCGCTCATTTGAATGCGCAATAAAGCAATGAGGAACAATATTATGACATGACTGTCACAATCGGTGCATGGATTTAGCGGTGGTTGTAAATAATAAATTGCTACGCATGCACAACTGCTAATCGTTGATTTCTACACTTTCAGAGTGAATCTTCTCGTTTAAATTGGTCTCAGGAGAGCGAAAGTTCCCTAAGTCGTTCTATGAGGTACGCTGATCCTTGGTTGTACGATGGGGTGAGATCCCCTAATGGGCTACTCTTAGCCCCGGCATTAGTACTCTGCTCTTGCACTGATTATTTAAATGGAACTAAACGTTCCAGTAAGAAAGGTCCAACAACTTGTAAGAAATGCAAGGGCACGAGAATTCCACTCTCCGCTTCCGGGGAGTCCAAATTCGGGACAATGCGATGCTATCCCACATCAACCCTATCAGCACCTACCCCCACTCGTGCTGGTACGGTCAGAGTGACATCTTCATCAAGGGCTAGTATTCTACCCTCAGCAGATCCATATGATCTCATGAGAAGATCTCGACTTACTGTCACTGAGAAATCATCAATGTCATCTCCAGGGTCTCAATTCAGAGCACGTTCTATTTCTCCCCATAAAGCAAAACCTTCTGAAAGTCGAAATTCTCCAAGAAAATCAGACAATTCAGAGAAAAATGGACAAAAAATAAAATACTCCACAGTTGGAAGGAGATCCATTCTAGAATGCAATGTAAACCCCTATGAGTTGATGTCAACTGGCCCTGATGCAGACACAAGTATCACTTTGGTCAATGGACAAAGAATTCGTGTGAGACCACCGATTAATATCGAACCGGATTATGAAGATGTCCACGTACAGTTAAAAACTCCTCAGCCGAAACCGGAAACACTATCGAGGAGTCAGATCCCAATCCCAAAACTGCAGTTAAAATTAACGAAGAAGAATGGAGTTGCGGTGGCACCACCTCAACTACCAGCGCAGGCGTCTTCACCCAAGCCGAACGAGAAGGAAGCGTCGGATTGCGGCAGCAACCGGTTTAAGTCGATATTGAAAAAGCCGTCGGCGACTTTCGGTGACACAGATTCAAACTGCGTCGGTGAGCGCAGCCCCTCGCCGGCGTTGAAAAGTGGGTCGCACTTTTACCTGCCCATGCCGACGACACCCAGGAAAAAGGTACAGTTTCTTGTTGAAAAGGAACAGGACTCCACAGCTAACATCGAAGCACATTACGAAGATCCTGATGTTTCACAAATCACACCTAATCAAATTCAACACTCCAGTGATGATGATGATGGCACAGAACAACACAACAACTATGAAGTTACTACATTTTCTTCAGCAGCAGAGAATAATCAAGGAAACAGCAACAATGCATCAACGGGTGAGTTACTTTCATTTTTCACTGCGTCAAGTCTTCGATTTCGATGCGAAAGTGATTTTCATTTTGAGAGCACACACAAAGAAGCAAGATTTATGGCGCTGTACAAAGTGTCCCAAATCTATAATTATTGCTGTGTCAAACAACATTCACCATGTAGTTATCTAAGGTAATCACTAATGACTATTTAATCGCTGCAGTCAAGACAAATTTATTTCAGCAATTATTGCATTTTAAGCAGGTGATCATTTAGATCTTTCAATTTACGCCTTTACTCAAGCCTAAATGACTAAACGATAGTAAAAGATTTACGGGTAGGAATTTTTGAACTTTCTCTGGTGGGTATACGAGTACTCAGCGTGGATTGAATTTAAAATAACTGCAGGTCTCGTGGTAAATAAGCAACAAACGTAAATCGAATGCCAATCACGTATTTGCAATTATATAACTTTATCAATAATACCATTATAATATATTCAAATCCCGAGATATTTCAACTATGTACATTTGCAGACTGCAATTAAACGAATGCACTCCTGATTAATCACGGTTAATTTGTTTTGATTTACTTAAGAATTTTACTACTTAATTGATTTATACACCGTTATTTCTTACATGACAAGAAAAACAATTAAAACAAAAAGTCATTAAACTCTGCTTTGATTTATTAAGTTATTTCTGAAACAATTTATTCATATTTTTCACTTGGCTGCTTTTAATGTGTGTATTGTAGGTGTTTTTGCTTTAAGTGTGAATTATTTCCGAAGTAATAAAAAATAGAATGTTATAAACAATTCGGCCGTTGGCATATTTGCACCGGTGCGTGACATTTCCGCAGGATTCACCTCGATTATATGCGAAAAGAAGCGAACGCGTGCGGCGCAATTATATTACGAAAGAGAAACCACGCGCACATCGAATTGTAACACTCTAGCATGTAATAGTAAATAGTAATAGGAATAGTAATAGCAGTTGTTCATAAATGCAGATGAATATTACATTACGTTTGGCGTGTTTGCATTGTGCGGGAATACAATTAATCATAATCTGATTTCAAAACGGAAGCGCTCCGAAATTGCTCGTCAAAATAAACAAAACTAAGTGTAACAATAACTCAACACTTGTATTACTTTTATTTGCAAAAGTTTTACTTTCATTTTATTGCTGTGTTGATAAAAAAGTGAAACTTTTTTGATAAACATTAAATTATAGGTTTAAATTTAAATTATTCAGTTTATCTAGTTCTGGATGTGAATTGAATCCCTTTGTATGATGTTTAATATTTGCTTTCGTGCGTTTTAAGCAAAGTGCATTTAACAATTGACGTAACAATAACAATGGATTGATGATGACGAAACACAGCATTTTGAACGCGTTTGAAATTGCATTAATGAATTCGAAGACCTGTAACGCCGTAACGCATACTTGATCGAATAGATGAATATCATTTTGAATGGTTCTTGCTTGTGTTCTAGGTGGCGATAGCGAAACGCCAACGCCGGCGTCATGCAGATTGCGAAGAAGCGAAAGTGAGCGGGCGCTCAAAGAGCAGGCGAGCGCCGCCAATAAGGTCATCTTCCACGACTCGATGGCGTTGCGCTCGCAGCAATCGCGCGTCGATGCGCGCATTGTCTTCACCGATAAAGACCTGGAGCGCCTGGACGGCGTCACGGCGCGGCTGGCCAAGAGCCGCCCGACGGATCCGCCTCCGCAACCTCCAACTGTCCATCAACAACCGCCACATGAGTCAACACAGGAACCACCATCGGCGCCTCCGCGCAAACGCAGCAACAATAAACAACCGTTGATAAATTTGACTCAACTGCAAGACACTGGTAACAATGGTAACAAAGTAAATGAAGATGAAGCGGATTCTCAAATTTTGTCGAATGTGAACATGATGAGACAAAAATTCGAAAACAATTATGATAATTTCACGCGTAATGAAAAAGTTTACGTTAAAACAGAACTTGGGAATAAAACGGTTTTAAAAATCAACAATGACCAAGTGCACACGCACAAAGTCAAGATCAAGAATGAGTTTTCCGATATGGCGAGCAACATGAACGTTAACACTATCGCTGTATCAGATAATGCCTTAGGAAAGACTTCAATCATGATCAATGGAGATGATTGCTATTCAACTATCAAAGTGTGCGATGAAATTCCTTTGTATCATTCATCCGTAGTTGTCAAGGATTCTGGTATTATTACAATCCCTGAGAAACGATCAAGCAGTTCGGTTTACATCACCGGTAACTTTGTCAACACCTTCAACAACGAAAACAGTGATAAATCATTCGATTATGAAGACAGCAAATCAAAATCTACACCAGTAAATATTCCAGAGATTCAAGTAAATGCCAAAGACCCAGATGATAATTTAAACAAAGAAGACAAACCGGATGAAACCCATGTGGTTTTGAGAAACAAAAACTTGAATAACACTGATTTACTAAAATGTCTCAGTAATCCTGTTGAAGCTGTCCGGATGAATCTGGTACCACATATTTGTGGCCGTCATGATAAACCCCGTAGACCTCGGGCTATCCTCCCTAAATTACCAGGGACACCAGAACCGTTGACGGAATTATCAACACTGTCAGAAGAAGACAAAGTTGCTAAGTTTATAGAAGACTCATTCTTGAAATTACGCAATAATAAGATATTGGATGTCGACGACAAGGACTCTGAGCACAGCTCGTCAACGCAATACGAGATCATAGACCACGGTTCTGATTGTTATACAGACCACAGTAACCGGAGCTCGATCACTGAAGAGGAACTGAATGCGCGCACCAAGTTCTATGAGCTGCTTGCAGACAGCGCCATTGTTGAAGTTTCTGAAAGCGACGACCATCATTACGAAAGCATCAAAGTCAACCAGGATCCGATCTACGAGGAGATCGAGATACCTCCGCCGTTGCCAGCTAACCCACCGCCGTCCACCATTTTGGACGAGTTGCAGTTGGACAAGGAATACACCACAAGGTATTTAGTTGTATATGTTTAAAGGTTACATAGTTTTTCACAATCTTTTTATAATAATCTTCAAGGTTTTTAACACATTGTACTTGTTTCTTTTACTTTCTGTACTTTGTTTTCATTTATTGGTTGTAAATACACGACTTGAACTTTAGTCTCTTTATTTCTTACTTCATACAACTCTACTTGAGTGAATTGAAGCGTCTGAGTGGGACTTTATTGATGGTGATGATTTTTTAGATCCATTTTTGAGGGTGCTTCAAAATATGACATCTTGAGCTATTTGGTCGACGCTAAGGAGCGCGGTATTGTCCCTGAAGATAGTTACACCTATAATTTCGATACTAGCAACGCCACGATAGACGAAGAAAGCAAGGATAATGTTGAGCTTCCCTATAATCGAGTGTCACATTTGAGTACAGTGTCTGATTCGAGCGAGGACAGCTCCTTGGTGATGTCATGCTCCCTTACTGACGATAAAGTTCAGCGTACTGCTGAAGTCGAACGAAACGATTCAGGCGTTGGGTCTGAAACGAGCAAGTCATCGCTGAGTAAATATCGAACGAAGCCTGATGTTATCAATGTTACATGTGAGGATTGTGAGGCCAGTCTAGACGCGCAGAGTCAATCCGAACACGAGCCGCTCATCTGTCGCAAGTGCATCAAGAAACGTACGGAGCGCAAAGAAATTATCACTGAAATCGTCGAGACCGAGGAGAAGTACAGTCGAGATTTGCAGATCATCCTCGAGGAGTTCTATCAGCCGATGTTGGTCGCTGGCCTACTTACGTCCGATCAGCTATCGGCAATCTTCCTAAACGTCGAGGAATTGCTCGAGAACAGCCAAGCCCTAGCGGAACGATTACGTGATGCTGTTGAGATAGCTGTTGAGCAAGGCGACGAAGACCTGCAGACTGTGAACATCGGTAAACTGATTCTCGAAGCGGCTCCAATGCTCCACGCGTTTGAGACTTATTGCGTTCGGCAGGGAGCTGCTAGTTTACTCTTGGCAAGCTTGGAAAAAGACAAGGAACTGTTGCGGATCTTCCTGCGAGTATCACAGATGGAAAACGCAGTCTTGCGTCGCATGAATCTGAATTCGTTCCTCATGGTGCCGGTGCAAAGGGTGACGAAATATCCGCTGCTGTTGGCACGCTTGCACAAAGTGACGCCGTCGCATTTTGAGACGCGGGATCAACTGAAAGAGGCGCAGCATAAAATCGAATTACACTTGAATCACATGAACTCCGAGACGAAAGACGTGCCCAGCAAACTGTGGCGGCGCATCAGCAGCATTCCCGGCCGGAGATCCAGCAGCGAGATGGATTTGGTGAATATCAAGCTGAGGAAGATCGCCGTCGATGTGCTGGAGTGGAATCACGACGAGGCCAAGTTCGCGCTTGAAGGGCGACTGCTCTTTACGCAGCCAACTGATAACAACTGGCGTAAGGGGAGGACGATTAAATTGACGCCTATTAATGCACTGCTCGTCACAAACGGAAAGGTAAGTCGGGTGGATAATTCGATTTGTCGCTTAGTAAATAAAGCTTTAAGTTGTGGTTTTGTTTGAGATGGATTTATTCAATTAGCGGGTTATTATTCAGTATTCTAGTGTGGATGTAGGCTTAAAATGTCAATTTATTCATGAATGCATCTAACAGTTATTTTATGCATTTTTAATGAACATTTACATAATATTATAATGCAGAGTGCATTAAACGTTACATATTCAAAGGATTGTAATTCTATTTCATAATACTTTTTTGTTTTACAGTCTGCATCAACAAGAACATCAGAGAATGGCGATGAAAGTCTAGTTTTTTCGCGTCAGGCTGGCGTTCGCGATGCAGCGCTATTGTTAGTGCGCGATAAGAACGGGCGCTACACGCTCCTGCGGGAACCCTTGTACCTGGATCGATGCGTCATCGCTGCTGATCCTGCATGGCAAAGCTACTTTGAAGTTCAGGAACTGCTAGGAAAAGACACCTTTATATTCAAGGTAATATTAACATATTAAAATCATTTTAGCTACAAAAATTCATATTTTTATTTAAATTTCAGGCTGAAGACGAAGAACAAACAAAGTTATGGTACAGACAACTCCAGTATTACGCCCAAGGCATGGGCGCCTGGCGGAAACGAAGAAACGCATTGGCAAACATAATGATCAACGGAATGGGCCTGCGATCTTAACATAATCAAGGCGGCAGACTGCGGACACCACAAAGACGAAGAGGCCCAAAGAGAATACATAATAGCTCGGCATTCGGCATATTTAACGCTAAATTATGATTGCATGTATTTAAACGATTAGATTTATCGCCCCTTTCCTATTCAGTTGTAATACGTTATATCGTAGGTTAGATGATAAGCGATAAGCCGTTGCATAAGCTTCTTTTCATCTTGATTTTTGTGTGCAGATTTCAATCGGAGATGTGTAAATATTTTAGTAATTTAGCTGTGATATTTGCGGACAAGATTTGATTGGATGGATCCTGATATTGATACGGACGTAAACGAATGTTAAAGAATGTGAAACGACGCTGAATGGGGTATAAAAGTAAAAAACACTTGTATTGGCATTTGTATTATTACTATGAGTAACTTTTTGGTAGATATTAAATATTCCTCCAATATTTGATTTTATTGGCTGAGCTTTGACAAGTTTGATTTCTATATATTATTTGGATAAATATTATTTTACTGATAATGCATTATACATATTACATTATAATATCATTATTATTAATATTATTACTGCGGATTATTTAATTAATTAATTAATTAATTCATAACAATGTGTAGCTTTCGCTGATATGTATTATTCGAGTTTGTAAATGTAAAAACATACAATAAACATATTTCAAAAATAGTTATTGTTTATTCTTTGCATAATTCAATTGTTTTATACACTAAAACAACAAATATCCTCTAATAAACATAAAGTTTAGTTGTTAATTACAGGTATTTAGATTTCACTATTTTTATTGAACACTGTGTCATGTTTCAGCATACTATACATCATCAGGCAGATGAATATTCTTTTTTATTGTAGTTTATTAATAAATGAATTATGGAATTCATTGCGAAATCACAACAATTCAAATAAAGTTTAGTGTAAAGATCGGACACGAGGTGGCGCTGTATGTACCGTTCGACGGTCAAGCGCTCCTTATTTTTCACAATATTCCCGCGCGTTTTTCTTTATCGTGTGTTCGGTTCGTTGGTTATAATTTTTGTTCGGTTCTGTTAAAATACAAGTTAATTAACCGTGAAAATAAGAAAAACAATGAATATTTCTAACACTCTTTGGTGTAAGTGGGTGAAAAACTTTGTGGACACGTTCAGTGAAAAATATTCATTGGTTTTAACTGTTTTAACCTGTAGAATCCTCAAATTTTCGATCGCGTTGTGTTCGTGTGCGTGTGTGCAAATTAACAAAACAATGACTCTTTCATTTGAAGTCCCTTGTGCCGCCCGTATTCGTCGTGGTAAGTTCCTTTGTTGATTAGAACTGATTTTCTGCGTTTCTGTTTGTTTGGTTTTAAGAAGATTAAATAACAATGCGATGTGCAGCATTCGCATAAATCCTCGACACGCTACAGTGCAATATGGCAAACGCGTTGCCGTCGTTCAAAAATAGCAAATAGTTGTGAGATCTGCGAATTTCAGCGTGTTGGGGCAACGAACTGAACAAACTGCTTAAATATTAGACACGCTGATGCTTTTTCAGTGCTTCACCGACAACGTGTCCGACGTTTTCGTTTTCTCCTGCGCCTGGCACGCGCGAATAAAGTATCCGGAGTGCATTCGTTGCAGAGCGAATAGCTCAGCGTCCAGACAACGTTGTTTTGCATTTCGCGAACGTGTTTAATTTATATTTACTTATACTCGACTTGCATTCGTGCACTTCTCGCTTCTTTTAAGCGCTTGAAAACATGAAATGCTGTAAGCATTATTTCATTGTTTGTTCTGCTTCAGCATTGTATACTGTGAAACCTTTGGTTTCAATCAATGATAACAATTTAATGACATTACAAAAACTAAATTACAAAATGTATTTCGATGAAGCTCATTGTAGCGCTATGACATTCTGCCTCTGCTGTGACACCCAATTAGTAAAAACAATTAAAATCGGTTTTATTGTTAAGCCCAACGCGTAGGTACTTCGATTGGATTCGAACCTCACAAAACCAATAATGCTCTCATATTTTTCATACGCTTGTTGTACGCGTATTGAATTTATGCATGAGATTGATTTACGGTGGTACGCAGAAACAAATAAAAAATGTTTCATGCTTCAACAACATGCGATTTTTGACCAGCGGGGACACTCAAATTTAAATGCGTGACCACCCTCAGTCCTCAACGGTTTATTATTTCCAAACAAGTCGTTTCGTCAAGCATGGCTTTTTAATAGAAAAATATTAACAGAATACTCTTCGAGGGTTATAGCGGGAATATGATGCTCAGATCATAACAACAGAATTTATGCGTTTTTAATGCGTGCAATTTGCAGACTTTAATTTTGAATAGGCACAACTTTAATTTAGCTTTTATAGATCGTCATGGTTTTCATGCAGCAATCATTTAAGTAAGCGGACATGAAATAGCAGACAACAATAACATTAATTTGTGGTAGGTTTTCTAACTACCTTTTGTGCTTTACTGCACTTTAGTACTTACGATTTCTGCCGCGCACGCGAAGGTACAACATGTAGGTAGCAACATGAACAAGCGTTACATTTAAATGCAAGTAAATCATGAAAGCTATAAGCGATTTTATTGTGCCGAGTTCATTGTGAGTAAGTTTTGCATGGACACGGCCGGATGAAGCTGATTTTGCAAATTGTAGCCAAACAAATTGTAGTTAAACCTATAAATATAATAATTTATTCAACTATCAGCCTATAATAATATTTAACTGAAAAATTTTATACGTGTTTCATTGTATTATGATTTATTAATATTTAGTACAGTCTGCAAAGTTTGATGGGATAAGTACAGCAAAAAATCAATGTTTGCAAACTCTTGAAAAGTAATTATGAACTTCTTAATGACTCGATCACAACGCCTACTGTTTGATCACAAAATCACATGAGTAATTTCTCTGCACTTAATGAACATCCATCACTTTGATATTAATTACAAGTCAACTTGTTGAACGCTGCTCAAGTGCCATTTCAACTTGCAAAGCATAACAAAACAAGAGATAAGACTGTTTATGTATATGGTGTTTGTATAAATCACCAGATGGCGCTAGTAGTACGAAAAGACATGTAAATAACTTTTTATTCTTGTTTTGCGGTTTTGCACATTGCAACCAACACTTTCGTTAAGTTTTTACATACGAGTACGTAGCAAATGTCTGTTCTGTTCGCCGTGTCGACTTTGAAGTTGATTTTAATGGAGCCGCCGCCGATGGCATCGAACGTCGGCGGCTGACCAAAGTCAATGACGACATCAAACTCCACAAACTTTAACTCGAACCAATCGCTTAGATTAATTTTACGCTCGCCGCACTCGTAAATCAATTTACAGCGCTATTTATTGGAAATCATAAATTTACATTTTAAAATCGCAGCGTTTTGTTTGATTTTTTTTATTACTTGCATCTAAGAATCCATTAAGTTATAAATAAACAAACGATGAAATTAAATTTCTTCGAGATTATAAAATTCCATGATAACTGCTGCTGCTGGTATGCTTGGTAGGAGTTGAATTATAAAAATCCATTCAGCCGGTTTGCGACTGTTGAGAGTTCGCGGGGTTCACGCTTTGAAAACGTCAATTGAACATTATTAAATAAAGTTTTGAGCCGGGATCTCCAGCACCTGGACGAAATTTAACGTATTTCCCTCACGTACGGTCGCGTCGTCTCGGCGGCGCTGTTTTATTCAGCGTCCGCCCGAATTTCAACACACTGCGAGCAGCAGCGCATAAGTAAACAGGCTGTGCGCGCGCGTTGCTCTGGAGAAGAGAGGAACTGCGGATGCTCGGTGCTGGGACGTGCGTCCGAATAAAGCGAAGCTGCCGGCGTGCGATATAAATGTGTCATGTTTACATCATTAAGGATAGATGATGCAGTCGCGCACTGAGAGTGTAACCAGTGGACTAGTGGACTAGGTCCCGGATATTAACACCTTACGCAGAGCTTATACACCGAGTTTATTTGCCTGCTTTATGGTGAGCGTCACTTGACGGATTTATTCACGGCGAGCGTTTACATAACCTCACTTAACTAAACTTTACTACGACTGCGTTTGAGTTAGGTTATGACTTGGGGAAGTTTTTAGGTTAGATAAGTAAATTATTCGGTATTAAATTGTAAGTACGAGTACAAACAGGCTTTGTTAGGTTTAACATGGACGAAGGGGAATTGACAAGAACAGCGGGTTGCTGAGAGTCTGTTGGTGACAGTTATGCGATTATAGACTAAGGAGCATGTGCATGTTTGCAAGTATCAACTTAGTCATGTCATCAATGCTTGTCTTCCTCCATGGACCAATTTTGGGTTAACACATATTAGGATTCTATCACTTTCTATCAATTGAACGGTCAAATTAAAAAGATTTAATCGAGATTATTTGAAGTACTTTTCTATATATTTCTATATCAGTGATCATAAAGTTAGTAAATTAATTCTGATTATTTTTCTTTCGAAGAGAAGTAGAACTACGAGTATATTCAGTTTTTATCTAGTATGTCCCGATATACCTACTTAAACTAACCTGTGTTGCCGTGTGCTGATCTCACATTAAATAAACCGAAGTCGAAGAGCGCGATTGGATATTTATTGTCTGGTTTCCGGCCGAGGGTTGCGTTTGAAGTTATCCGGCGCGCGCGCGGCTAGCTTTTTCTGTGGTTTACCTCTAACTGCAGATTACCGAGGACGAATCGAAGGACGATAAAAGTAAATTGGCCGGGACGCTTTTCGAATCAGACCTAATACCCGCGGCTTACATGAAAACATTTATGAGTACTTCTAACAATTTTATTTTTAATTCAGAGAAGAAAAAAAACAAAAAAGTTTTACTACAAATTTTAATTAATTATTACAATTTCTTGTTAAGTAGTTATTTCTGTCATTACTTAGTTGAGTAGTGCTTTTAGTTAATCTTGGTTTTTGTTTTTTGCACTCGAAAATTACACATTTTAGCACTCGATCGTCAAATGTTGCTCCATGTCGTCAAAAAGCATGCAGCATGCATGCGAAATAATGGCACTCGTTACTCACTCCGACGACAAGTCGTACGTCATGTGAGATGTGAGCAACATTTTTACACTGCGGATCTTTTACCACTCGCATCGTTTATGCGATCATTATTATATATTTTTATCGCCTCAATTTGCATACCATTCCACATTTCTGCGTCGCGTTTGAGGGAATGCTCACAGCGCACGACGAAATAAGTAAAACGTTAAAGCGGCGAGCACGTACGCGTTCCTAACCTATTCAGGTGGAGTGTGAGCATTGGAGTCTATTACCTTGCATGGTGAATAAAAATTGTTGACAATTTTATTCCTCTTAACATGCCTTACAGTGTAACTTATATTATACTGATTGTTTTCGTAAGATTTAAATGACAATTTCAATTTTATATTTTAACTTAGTATAAATTGTGTTTTCTTCATGTTTATAACTTGTTTGTATTTTTATGGGGTTGTAATATGGTGGATAGTAAATGTTTTAGAAATTCACAGCTGTCCCGATGAAAGATATCGGCGGGACAGCTTCATTTCTTTAAGCTTTTATGTCATCTCACGAATGCATCTCGCATGCATTCAACTTTCCGACGTCGCACGCACGCCGCGTTTCAAGTGGAAAAACAAACGAAACAACAAAAAATTTCTGTTCGCTTCTCGGCGCACGCAAGCAAAGCGCGCGCTCGCTGTGATATTGTCATGTGCATGTCGCCCTGTGCGTTTGAACTTTACAAGGCATTCGCAATTACATTCGCTATTCTCTGATACAAGATCCAGGACCTTTAAAGTATAACGTTTGCATAACATTGTGTACAAGTTCACAAGAGTCACGAAACGTACTTATAATATGTCTACAACTTCTTTGTCATTCAGTTCTTCATAAATGTCTAGACTACAGTCTGGATATCACACTTAAATATCAAATATTAAATCGGAAGCGATTCTTTTATTTCATTTTATTTTCTTCTTTGAAGGATAAGAAAAAAATTGCTTGAGAATGACACGGAAGGGTGAGCAAGCTTGAGAGATTCTCGGATATTACACGACGCGGAAATCGGCAAATATAAATAGGCCTTCATCGTGATGCGCGCGGCGAGAGATCAAAATCACTCGACGTCGCGACGCCGCTCAATCAATGTCACGCATAATCCTCGCCCTAGCGTGCACCGCGTATGCAGGGCGAGCTTTCCGGGCTTCCGGTTTGTAAGCCACTTTGTGGTGCCCGAACTTGAGTGCTCGAGATTATTTTGTTATTAATTAGAGTCAATTACGCTTTATGCTAGGCAACCCACTATACACCAACGGTATACTTGGTTACATACCTTTATACAAACAACAAAAATAAGTTTAATTGAGATTGATTAGCCAATATTAAATAATTATTGTTTACACTTTGAATGAGAGTGATACATCAAAGCTTTCAGTGTCAGTTTGTATATTTGAATATTAAAATATTCAAATTTACATTTCGGGATTTTTACAAAGCCCGGAGAGCTTTTGTCTCACATCCGCGCACTCGCATGTAATATTAAAGTGCGTAATTGCACTGTGTGGCCGCGCGGTTTAGTTTATCCGTGCGCGCACCGAGCACGTACATCATGTACTCCCGGCCGGCGTGGATTACACGTGCACGTACATGCCGCACATGTAAATCAATGTGTGGGTTTGGGTTTTCCTTATTTTCATTTATTTTTGCTGTTTGTCTACTACTGCATATACAGCGAAGAGAAAATAATGAGTGCGGTGCCTTAGGTCATTGTTTATCTTGGAGATTGAGATTGCGCTCTAATGATGATTAATCTGGGTAATAATGCGCCATCGATTGCGCCACCAGCATGATGATATTGAGCGACTTATCGGAAACCGTAATGTCGGGCTGTGAGAGGCCACAGCCACAATATGAATGACATGTGAAGTCATGAAAATTTTATTGCTCGAATGCAAGCGATGAATTAATAAATCGCCAGTGGAGATTGATTTCTTGGAAATGTATGTGTATTATAAACACGCAACTATATTTTTATTATTTTATAGTTTATTGGATTTTCTAGTAAATTGAAATTAAATTTTATTGATTTGAATTAAATTTGTTGGCAGGCGTTTGCAAATTAAAATGGTTCGCGTTGCGTTTGTTGCGAAAATTCGCGTTTCCGGTTCTCTAAATCTGAAATGATTAAGTTTATTATCCGTTCGTTTCGGAGACGAGAGCGCAACGTTTAGCAATCGCACGAGTATCATTAGGACGGAAGTTTTCCGCGAGGATTTCCCGACTTACGACGACGTCTTTGTAGTAGGAAAGGAAGGAAGGAGTAAAGCGAACATAAGGAGAAGCTGATGTTGAAAGTAGGGGGAATTAAAAGACTAACAGCGTGCTGTTTAATTAAATAATAGGTTTACGTTCACTTCTATAGAATAAAAATTAAAACCCAGGGTAAATGCCCTTTTACTTTATTCTATTATACGCAGTAACTCACTCTGGTTGTGTGGTTGTGTGTGGTTTTTTGCGTTGCGATTGTAACCCGCTGATAAATGCAAATAGAGGGCGGTTTTTTGGTCGCTTGTGAAGCGTGCGTACATTTTTCAATGTTAAGAGATTAACTAACTCCCTCTTCGCGCGGCGCGGATCCGGCCGTGTTTTGTTCCCCGCCGAAGATGACCGATTGTAGGCGCGGCGCGTGAGAGAGCTCCTCGCGGCAGTCGCGCTCGCGCTCATCTTGCAGACGGCGCGCGCTCTCTCCTGCGATTCTTATCCCGGCCGCGCGAGCACACCGCGGCGAGAGCACGTGGCCTCTCCGTTCGGCGGGTGCCGGCGTCGAGTGTTGTTATCACGTGGACGTTCCCGCACGCACGTCATGTAGCGGCCGCGCGCTCGTCTCCACAACTGACTTCCGTGTTTTACGAAAAACGCAAAGTGCAACTACTAACTTTTTATACTACAAGTGCGTATGTTAGTGACTGATACACATGTGATACATTGAAAATCATCACCGAGAGAATGTTGTGATTTTCTACAAATATCCACAACGAATTTGTACTTTTACTCCGTCAAAATGAATCCGAGGTATGAAATTTTAAAATTTAATTTTTTTGAATTTAAATTCAGTAGAAGTTAATATTTGTCCGAGTCAATTAATGTACTGCCGTGTTTGTCATAAATATAGCAACCCCTGAGCCATTTAGGCCCCCTTTGCGCCGACTGTCAATTATGAATGCAAATCGAATTCAGAGCGTCGCCGGCATTGCTCATTTGCGCGCGCGGTTGCATTCATGTTTGATTGTCGAACGAAACAGCGGACGACATGCGACAGCATCGACACTTGTCGAGACCCCTCATTGCTGATAACGCGGTAAGCAAACCGCCCCCCGATAAGTGAATTCTGCATGTAATTATAAATGACGGTCGCGTCGCTGCGCCCTGCACACAACCGACGTGAATGAATTGACGAATAGATTAAATTTATAATTGGCGATAACACAATTTACAAAGCAACGAAATATTTTGTGTTTTAATAAATTTTAATGTTTTATTTCTTGGTTATCGATTAAGTTATTTAATGTAATGTGTGTTTGTTGTATCACAAGCAATAAAAGTCAAAGTTTTTACTCATGCATTTTCGATGCGCCCATCTTTTCGCAATTTCTTGCACTTGCTGCGCGCAGCATTTGTTTGAGAAACGCAAGATGTCGTGCACACCGCACATAAATTATTCACTTTAAAGCGTACGATTCGTACCTTTTGCGATTGCATCGTCTCACAACATCACCGACACACACGTCGACCATGCTATTTCTTGTTTTCTTCTTTTTCTCGGATGTCTAAAGGGCTCTTCAAACAATAACGATGAAGTTGTATGCGCAACGCGTCCTACAATATGTATTGATATCGTCACGTCGTTGCGATCTTTTCCTGTTTTTCTTCTTTTTTATTTTTATTTTCGAGTTGTGACTGGGGACAATAGCATGCACGGAAAATTGAACGCGTAAAACTTGCGCCAGCTATTAGTAAATTGTAAAAGAGATGAAACGATGCAGAGAGCGCGCTTTTAAGGTTAAGTTCGCTGTGTGCTTACACTAGACCTACCAGACGATGCATTGTTTGTCTTCTTGGATGTCATGGGTGGACGTTTAAGAGATTGCAGTTTTACAATCGGTATTTACGCAACCCCTGTCGAACATAAACAACGACAACGTGCGTGCACATTTCGATTCATTCGTTTCGCTTTGCTTGTTTGCGCTGTGCGCGTCTCTGCTTTCAGCTTCAATGCGCCGATGAAGAGCTTACTCATCTTCATTTCTATGGATGGAAATAAATGTTAAGTGAGTATTGCTCATCGCAGACATCGAGACATCGAATCTTACATTCCAAGCTTAACTAATTAAGCTGTGTCTAATAAATTTTCAATTAAAATTCCGTTTTTTCTTTAAATTTTTTTATTTTTACGAATAAATTTTTACATTTTTCGATTTTTTCTGTTTTGAATTTTAAAATTTAAATTTAAATAACGCTACCGTAAAGCTCTTTATCATAGAAAACTTTTAAAAGACACTTAACCGAGATGCACATCGTGTGTTTACAATAAAAACGCTTAGATACGAATTTAATACGACAGCCGCGACGCAATATAAGCACTTAACACGCAATTTGGAAACGTAAAAAATGCGTTTTACAATATTTCCATCAGCCGCCAAAGCTGCCAAACAATAAAATATCAGCTTAACGATTAAACTCTCTTTCTCTGAGATGTGACCATGCGCCGTCTGCCTGGGAACTCAAGTCTTCAACTTTGAACAGAATTAATTAATAAAATTTGTCTCATTAATCACCGGTTTATTAATGACAAAAATAAAACGGATTTCATCATTGACAAAGTTTTAATTACACCAAAATACAATTTGGATGCGAAATACTCGCAACAATAGTAAATTAACTTTTGTTTGCGACGACTGCGTGGTAGTTTTTGGAGAGCGACTTTATTTAAAACTTTAACGCAGTGACTAGCTCGTAAATCCAGTTTTAAACAAGCCACACAATATTCCGGGTGTATATGTAGTGTTTCCACCGAAGTACGCGCCAACTAAACAACCAGGTTGAGCTGGTGACTATCGCAGAGCAAGGCGAGAGACGGTAATACCGAATTTCTAGGCGTAAATTATTACGGTCTATACGCGGGCAGTGCTTGCGGTTTCTTCACAACTTTTCACCCTTCGCGATAAACGCGCCGCCGACACAGGTGCCCAAGCCGTTGTTCGGATCGGTGTTTACGACCTTGTCGCCTTGTAAACTGCCGCCATTGTGCGGAGGACTTCCGTACTCAACGCAAACCGGTACATTCTCACACGTAATATCTACAGAAGCTAATTGTACAATAGAAATCCAGAGGGTATTTTTATTATACTCTGTGGAAAATTTGTTAATTGCTGTAGCAGATGCCACACGGCATATTGGTAAACATTTGTGGTTACAATATACACGTAGAAACTTTAATAAGAAAATTTTTAAATTTTTTAAAATAAAATAACCAATTACCTACCTACTAGTCATAATTGACACATTTAATTAGAACCCATCTTGTGAATCCTGTTAAACTCGGAGCGGATTTCACACATTAGTGATTAATTAATGCCGAAAGGAACTTTGCACACCTTTGCATCATTCCCGCACGCGGCAATTACACGCGATCTCTGTGAGAGTATCATTACCAGGCGATAAGGATTAATGAGGCGCGAAGAACATATTAATATCGCAATCGTTAGCATGCGAGACATTCTTCAGTGTTATTAGACACGCCGCTTAATGAGCGCTAATGTACGTCATGAAAATAATTCGTTTCTGTGCATTTTTCACCCGCGTGTGTATCACAAGTAATTCCACTTTAATGTGTTTCGTTATTGTTTATTGTTATTGCGCAAGTTAATAGCTTCACTAGCGCAGTTGGTTGAATTGCAAAAAAGGTAAACAGGTAAACGTAAACCACTTGGATATGAGCACACACGGTACCCACCCGGCTGCCGGTACTAGTTTAATCGTTTTTATTGCGCGTGCTGTGCGTTCATTCATGTGCCAAATGCTGAAGAAGCCCGTATAAAGTCAAGAAAAAACAACTGCTACTTAAGGTTATACTGTGTTCGCAAGATGCTATAAGTAATATTTATTTGTTTTCATTTCTACCTGGCGAATCTTCTTCTCGTAATAAAGATAACAGCGGCGCGTGCGATGAAGTAGAAAATTAGCCACCGACCATTATTCATAGTTAATGATGTTTTTGTTTATCTCGCCGCCGCCTTCAGGCCAGCATCCCACAACAACCAATAATACTTTTGTTTATTTTGTAAACTTTCAATTTCTGCGCGCTGCTGATATAGATGGCGCTGATAATTGGGTTTAACCATAGGAAACGCAAACAATCTGCGAGGAGATAAAACAAACTTTTTGAAAAACGACTTTATGCAGCGTAGAAACCCAAGAAGACTGGCGAAGTTATGTATGCTGCATACGTAATTCATAGAGACGTTTATTTATTACCAGTGTTTGCAAATTGCAACACCGCATAGCTTATTCATAGTGTCATAAAGTTTCAATTAGGAAAATAAAACGAAATGCAAAACAAAAAATTTTAAATTTTGATTTTAGCGCTAAAATTAAAATAGAAATAGAAATGTGTGTGGTCTGGTCTTAAACAACTCATGTGCTACTTGTTAAACAAAAAAAATTATAAATCTTATCAGTGTGGTATGTTTGCGACGCGTCTGAACGTCTAGCGGTTAAAAAAGGTCCAATTAAAGCTCACTTTGGGGTTCATCCCGCTAAATGTTAAATGTTAACTGTTTAACCAAACACTAACTGAGCAAACAGACCTACACCTCTTTCGCTTGCTGTTGGGTTGTGTGTTATCAATGAGGGCGAGTTTATGCGATAGGATCAGGCGCTGGTCAACGCGGTCGGGTTTGGGGCCGTTCTAATTAAAAGAGCATCTGATAGTGTCAAGTGTACACACAAGACACTTTGCTATCCGCATCCGCAGCAGGCGAATAACCCGTTTCGGTTATTTGAACTTTCCGAAACCGGATACCGGACTGGACTTGCAAAGAGCAAATGCAACTTTTGGTAAAATACAGGTTGTTGTAAATTTAATCATAAAATTATTATTTTATTACGGTGTGTTGTATATTTTTAAGCACGTTTTGAACATTAATGATGCTTTCCGGGCGTTTTTGGCGACATGAAATTTAATTCGATGCGTGGATGCAAACTTCCTTAATTCCTGTGTGTATGTTGTTTCCGCAAACATTTGGCATGCACAATAACATTTTCCATATTAGGTTCACACAACTTACATTAAATATGACCATTTGAATTTGACTCTCTGCTAAACTTGCTAACTCCAAACGACGCCGGAACGGCACGAGATTTACAAATTTGGCAAATTTAATTCCTGCGACATTACCGACCGCTCCCATATCCTCTGCATGTATTTATATTTATAAAATTTACATCATATATAAATGTGATCTCATATCTGCATGCCCACAACCGAAAAAGGGGACATTTCAATTAATTAAAACTCATGTCCAACAAAAAATGATGATGATTTATTTCTTAATTTAATTTTTGACAAGTTTCACTCTCACAAAGCCAGCAAATGTTTCAAACGTTTGAAATTTTCACATACCACAATTAGTGTTACGTAATGCGAGACGAAAAGCAATAAAACATGATGATAATTAGACGTTTGGATGCATATTGCACTTAGTGCGTAAATTGTGTCTATGCGCAGTCAATTTGTCGAACAAAACGCTCGGATGTACCGTTCAACTAGAAAATTTTCAACAATTCCAAAAGCCTATCTAAAATCTATTGGTGCGATAAAGATAATTTAACATAATCTTAAAAGAGAGTGAATGTGCACGCGCCCGGTCATGTTTGGTCATTCATACTCATAATGGCCTAATCACTCTAATCGTAAAGTCGGTGCGCGCGCGCGCAGATGCTTAAAGATAAAATTAATAACGTTCATTATGTTACCAGCGTTTACCACACATACTACTCGTGTATTTCTTGTT